TTCACCACATTCCTCCTACATGAGTCTACTCACGCACCTCGCAGCAGCTTTTGCTCTGCCCAAATTCCAGAGCCACCATGACTGAGATGGACCAGGTAGTTAAAGCCCCAGTTTTGAACACTGGGGTGCTGGGGTCTTACATCATCTACTATGCCCTCACATCTAGTATTGCAGCCCTGAGCTGAGGTATAACGTACCACTGCTGACTGCTTAGAGCCCTGTGTTAGTTTGAATAGGCTAGGTTTTGCTGCAGTAACAAACAGCATGGATATTGCAGTGGCTTGTGACAACAAAGGTTTATTTCTTGCTCACACTACTGGCCTATTACTGGTCACTTATGGCTCTGCTTCATTTATCATTGTCCTCATTCTGGGACTCGCGCTAATGGAATCTGGCATCTTTGTGGAACACTGCCATTGACTATGGCTTATGACTTATCTCAGCATTAAATGCTCCAACCTCAAAGCGGTATACCTCTCTTCTGCTCACAACTCTGGACATAATAAATCCGACTTGAAGGAGGCTGCAAAGAAACAGAGGAGGACAGGAAGTACAATTCTGTAATGTGTTGGAGTGGCTTTAACTAGAAAATTTGACAAACAGCATGAATGATTAGTATTTTTATTGTGGTCTGGGGGTCAGTGCTTTTCCCAACTTTCAATGGTACCCCTGATCTGATAACCAAATTATGATGCTGGAGTTTACAAGTCCAAGTCCTCTCTCTACGACTTATTCTGTGGGCATGAGATTCTCCTGGGTCTCCCCCTGAGGTCCTGTTTTAGTAACCAGCTTGTTTCCTTTGGCTTCCTAATAGGGCTGGAAGACTTGTCTCTCTTTTTTAGTCCTTCCCTAAGGACTGGAATCTCATCTATCCAGATGCTAGAGCCCTGTTACCTGTAGGCAAATCATGACATCAATGGCAATGAACACTCAACTCTTGATCATTCTCCAATTGAATTGCCCTTATTGGGAAGCCTTGATATTTCTGTTTGGATTCTCTCATGCTGATCATTTGCCTGAACCCGGGACAGAGATTGAGTCTACAAAGCCGGTAAGTTTTGCCTTCTCCCCAGGAATTTCTAAGCCTGTGATATAATTCGCGTCTAAATGCCAGCATCCTCTCCCTAGTGGGTAAATCTGCTCCAGGTGTTAGCACCACTCCTTTCTTGCTGCCAGTCAACAGCTATGCTGCCTTGATACATCCTGAGGCGTGTCACCAGAGTCTCTAGCTGTGTTTTGATTTTTTTTCTATCCATGAAAGATGAAATTTCTAAATATCTGTCCCCGTCCTCCATTCCCAATTTCTCTCAGCATCTAATGTGACACAGTGAATATAATCAGTATTTAATAACCACTTCTTGGGTGAATGAATGGGGAGCTGCAAACTTATCTTAGGACTCATAAAGTCTCACTAAATGCTTTGGTATTTCATCAGGAAAATGGAGTAATGATACTTAATTCAGGAAGGTATTAGCAGGATTAGATATGATCAGTGTGGCGTGCACTGGAAGAGGCACCCCTCCACAAGAACTGTCCATAATATTAATGACAGGATGCAGCTGAGTCAGAAGCCACTCAGGCGTGGAGCAGCACCCATTTAGTGTGCCCCAGTGATGTTCTGAAACAGGAGATGAAACTTTTGTTTTCTTACCTCTCATCCATATCTGAACTGCCCTCCTGCAGCCTTCTCCTAACGTGAAGGAAAAATAACCCCATCATTTATTGAAGTTGTTGTTTTTTGTTGGGAGGGGCAAGAGGGGTGGATTGTAGAAGAAATTTGCAGAGAGATTTAGGTTTTCACTCTCCCACTTGATCCTTTTTTGCATATCATTGCATTGGTTTGATTTTGACTTGACACTTTAAAAGTTCTTTTATAATTTCTATGAATTTTGAATGATTACCTTATCAATTTAACTTAATAGGAAACACAAATCTAAATACTCTACTGAACCCTTTGAAATCTGGTATCTATCTGCCTGGTTGCCATTTTTATCATTCAACACAACATGATACCTATAATAATGTCCTGGCCTAAAAAAATTGCTGAAGATTAGAGAGCTGGAGCTGTCAGATTTGCTCCCGTCACACTGAAAGACCAAAGCAGAAGTACAATGGTGTTTTGATTAGTATCAGATCATGGTGACATTTCATCTATGGAAGTGTTTGAAGTGGGTAACTTGATCAACAAATTAATTTTGTTGTAATCTTTAAGACGACAGTGTGGTTCATTTTATAACAATGACATATTAACAGACGCTGCATTCTTTTGGCTAAAATAAAAAGACCAGTTGTTAACAGACTGTCAATCACTCTCAATTAATATAGACTTCCAAACTCTTTTGGCTTAAAATTCCGCAGATGTCAAAGGGCTTTTCTAGGAGATGGTCAACATACCAATGAGAGTTACCTGTATTTCTTTGCACATTGTAATAATCTACATGTGCTTTACTCTGGCTGTTGGTTTGTGATGTAATGAATGCTCAAAAAGGGTTCTTTGGAAAAAATAGAGAAAATTTAAGTACATGGTAATTTACTTGTTCGTTCTTGCTTTGGCACTCGCAACAGTTAATCAATTAATGACAGCGAGGGTGGGACTCTGGTATTATTTTGTCGGTGACTTAATGATACACATTGGGGAATTTCACCTACTCAATGGTTACGGAACTCCAGTGCAAGATATAAATATGTGTGTCTTAGCACCAGGGTGCCATATTAGACTTTTTAAAAGCTCAAGTAAAATATATATTCTATCCAACTGAAATATGTGTTCCCTAGAGATATTAAATTGATTTTTAAATTTGTTGGCTTATCCAGTGGGCGTGGTTACTGCTAGTGAATCTTCTAACTCTCACGGGTTCCTTAAAGCTAAGTGACCACATGTCCTGGTTTGCATGGGTTAGTGTTGTTTCTGTGAAATTAAATTATTCATACAGCTTCCTTTGCTTTCAAAAGTATTTTGGTTTACAGTGATAAATTACAGATCACTCTACTTATCCAGTCCCAGAAGCCACAGTTTCATTGACTGAGTTTCAGCCCAGAGGGGTAAAGCATTGTCTTACTCCTCCTTAGAATAAATCCCTTGTCTCACTTTTTCACATCTTTTATGTTCTGTAGGCCCCAGGGCCATTTTACTTTGCTTTCATGGATTCCAATGGAAACTTTTAGCTAAAGAATGCATTGTAAGGGAACTTTACTAATGATCAAAAAAATGTTTTAATACATAATCAATATATGTTTTACTGTACTTCAGGAGAGCAGGAATCTTCACTCTTTAATTCATCATTGAGCACTCAACACCTTGCACAATGCTTGGGTACAGCAGAGACTCAATAATGCTTGTTGAATGAATAAGCAATTTAAAAACTTACCTATTTTTTAGTCAAGGAAAATTGAGATTTCTTCACACAGATCATTTTTTTCCTAAAGTTTTGAAGACACTCCATGACCATCCTTGGAATCATTGATTCTTAAAATATTTCTCAAACATTGTTTGAATAAGGATTACTTGACATTTGGCCAAAAAGTTAGACTCCCAGATCCTGCCCCTGAAAGTCTGGTTCAGTAAGTTTCAGATGGCTCCAGGTATGTAGCAGGCATCTCATCTAGGATCCTTTCCAACTCTAAGTCTTTGAGATCTTTGTTTCACTTTGTTTTCAAAAGGACACTTGACCGATTTCGTATTAGGCTGTCCATCTTTCTACGAAGTCACTATTATGCTAGTTATGGAGAGGGTGTTACACTGGAAGGAAACAAGCTTCCACCATACAACTGGTTTATCACTTCTCCTCTCTGGACCCAAATTTCCTCAACCTAAAAATGGCAAGGCTGAACTACAAGATCTCTCAGACTTCTTGCAGCTCTCTTATCAGGTAATTCTTATCTTTGAAACCTGATAGATATCTGGGCAGATAAGAAGTGGTACAGGAGACATTTTCAACAAAAGATCAAAAGTCATTGTTGCTTCATTTGCAAGATCTTACGTATGGATTATTTGCTACTGAAGAGATATTTTTAGGCTTTTAGGTTATGTGAGAACCATTCTTGGCAAATGACTTTCTGTAGCAATTTTATTTGGGATTCCCTGGATACATGTGTTGGGAGCCAATTGCTAACTTTTCATTTCGGAGGTTAAAAATTATTTCTTAACTCTTGCCAATTTTCTTTTAGATCCTGCCAAAGATATTTCTGCAGATAAGGAAAAAGTCCTTTTCTTTCGAGTATAATTTGCAGAAGTTGGAAGAGCCCAGCCTGCCCGGGTGCCCTGTTACTAAATTGTAAGCAAAATCAGAAGTAGGTTTCTGGGTAACCATGCCAAGTAGATTCCAGAAAAAGGGATGACAAAGGGACCCTGGTGAATACATTCACAGAGATTTGTTCATCAGATTAACTAACTGTGTTGGATTTGGGCTTGAGGAAGTATAAGCCAAATTAGATGAATTTTTTCCAAAAGCAGAGAGAATAGATTGGAAGTTTTAGAGCTGGGGAGGAACCCGAGAAGGTCAAGACCTGATGAGCAGTGAGTGGGTCCTGAGTGCCTAAACATTGATGCCAATAAGAGGGGAGAGACGGTCATGTCTGTTTAGTGAAGAAGCAATAGCAATGTTCTCTGATTTCAGAATTCTGTCTTGGGCTGCTCTCGAAGTCAGAAGGATGGGTTCTGTGAAATGATGTGATAGGAGAGAGAAGGAAGAATTGTACGATTGCAGTTTCCTTCTACTAGGCAGGCTGCCTGGAGGAGGAGATTGAGAATGCAATCTTGGAGGTAGGATTGATTTTCTTGTGTCCTTACGTAATTGCTTAACACCCTACTTCTTCCTTTAAGGTGGATCCCATATGAAGAATAATTATTTATTATTTAGTCTAATCCACACCGGCACCGATGTCTCATAGTAGATTTAATATTAATCAACTCAATTATTTTTCAAGGTTGCAGGTATAAAGGGCAATGAACAGGATGAAAAATGTTTCTGGAGTTAAGCTGGTGATCTTGCAGCTCCAGAATGGACAGAAAACATGGGAAATATGTTGTGAATATTGAACCCTCTGGAAACCAGCCGGTGAGTATTGGTGGCACCACCATCTTATGTTCCAATAGCTCAGTCTTGTTTTCAAAATTTATACGACTCTAACATTTTTAAATTACAACAGTTTCTTCCCCAAAAGGAATTCTTAATCAAAGTTTACATGGAAGTCAATTTTTAGCTATTCTATTACTATTTATTAATTAGAAAACTAGTATCTTTTTCTGCATATCAGTACATGCATAATTGAGAAATTTCTTTTAGTATTCACTATTATGAGGCGTTAGCAATTTTTTGGGTAACAACTTAATAATCTGTTCAAATAATACTCTACAGTTATAATTTAAGCATGAGCCAACAAATCTGCATTTGATTACATGAGAAAATCATGTTTTTCAAATTTGACATACATAGATTTTTGTGTGAACAGCCTAGATTTTTAGTATAATGTATAGATTTTTCAGAACCCAGAGATTTCTACATGTTTTTCAAAGTCAGAAGATAATTTTGTAAGTGAAGTCTTAGGGCTAGGGAGAAATTGTCTAGCAAATCCTTTAGATTGGCCTCTGTTTAACTACTTAGGAATTTCTTTTTCGGTAAGAATTATATTCAGGTGAAATATTAGAGTTCAATTAGGTACAGTATTATTTGACTATTGTTTATGTTTTTAGAAGAAACAGTTCACCACTGTAGGTTTTATGATTGCATTTTATGTAACTGTGCATGTCGGACTAGAGCCCCTGATATTGGAAACAGAAATGGAAATATGCTGAAAGAAATCAGTATAAGTTTGAATGGACAATTGCATTTTATGAGGAAAAACATTTTTGTCCTCATGCATTAACAAGGAAGTTACAAGGCAAAGAAATTTTTCTCTTGATTCTAGCTCAGCACCCCTTTCCCCTGAAGATGTTCTCCGTGGTCCTAACCTTGCAGCTCTGTCACCGTGTCTTTGCAGTGTCAGGATACTCAGATAAAAAAGTTCCTTTAGTAAGGAATTAGCCATTTGGAGATTTTTCTAGACAATGCTGAGAGTTTTCAAATAAAGGGCACTTGTCTTGATCACTGGACTGGCTGCCTATTTCATTTTACATTTGGATATTTGGACATAATGGCAGGGAAATATTTTTTTTTCCCATTGGGAGCCATTTTCACCAATGGATTAAAGTAGCATTGAAGGCCATATAAAAAAGGAAAATACATGTTTGTTTTTCTCTCATAGGAAATATGAAGTGGTACATTAATATCTTTTAAGTTATGAGCAGAGAATTTAAAATTTTATTCTATGAACATAGTAGTGCACATTAGATGTATATAGTGGAGATTATTGGCTTCTACCAAGAGCTAATTAACTATACTTCATGGCTCCCCACCTGCTCAAAATTTTGACTTTAGAGACTTCACTTTTATTAATAGAGGAAACCAAGACAGTCAGAATTAGACAGTCACGCGTTGCTTAAAGACAGGGATACGTTCTGAGATGTGAGGTTAGGCAATTTCATTGTTGTATGAACATCATAGAGTGTACTTACTCAGATGTAGATTATGTAGCCCACTACTCGCCCAGGCAATATGGTGCTAATCTTATGGGACCACTGTTGTATATGCGGTCTGTCATTGACCGAAACGTCATGATGCGGTACATGATTGTACTACTCCCAAAGCTCTGGCATCATGGGTTCTTCACTCTCAGTGTAGACACCCACCATCTTCCTTCTTTTAAATATATTCAATTCTGGCCAGTGAAGTTTTATTTAATTACAAAAGTTCAAAAAATGTCCAAATTCATCACTCACAAGCAAACTGAATAGCTGGAGAATAGTAATAGTAATAATACACAGAAATACAAAGCTTTTATAAAATATAAATCTTTGTGATTTTCTCAATGTTGCCTGCTTAAAAACAGGTGGAAATTTGTTAAAGGGCCTTTGTGTATCATATCTTCTCTTATTAGGTATCACTGCATGGTTATTCTCTTTATTTCTTTGGCATGATATTGTACCTTTAGAAAAATAGACTTTGACTAATACTTCATGCCCAAGTGTATTCCTTCTTGACTATATTTAATCACAATTATACTCCCTTTTATTCTTATAGTTGCTCAATGACTGTGTCTATACACATATTTAGTTTGATTGTTTTAATAGAATTTAGAGATTAATTGAACTAGCAATGTCAATAGCCTTTTTCATAACCATTTAGGATTGAGTATTTAATCAATATAATCAAGAGAGAGTATATTTAAATAATACTCTTACTGTTCTATGAGGGAAAAAATTCTAGATAATTCTATATAATATTTTTCAGCTGTAAGAAATTTACGTGTAACAATTTACACTCCCACGAGTATGTGACACAGATTACTCTCCTTTTTCTTAAAACTGTCTCTGGGATTATTTTTCTTTTAACCCCACTTCAAGAAAAAGCTAACCCCCTAAACGTTTCTTATTTGAACCCACCCTTTTAATTCATTTTCTTTTTAAATTTCAAGATGTATTTAAAAGATTTAAAGAATAATATAATAGGCATGCATGTTCCAAACACCAAGTTTAAGAAAGAAACCATTAGAAATTATAGTTGAAGTCTTTTGTTTGTATCTTCCCAACACCATTCTCTTTCTCCTTTGTGCTCTCCACCCTATAGAGACTGTGGTGAATATGGTTGTACCCAAACATTTTCCAGCTTCTAGTCCTTATCATATTTATCTGCACCTATTTTGTCAAATTCAAACAAATCTGTTCTGCCTCACCAAGGAAGCACAAGATCCATAACAGCAAAAAACTCCAAAAAGAGACAAGAAAATGCACGTTGAGCGATTGCTAAATGACTTGTCTTCCATAGTGCTTTCAGGGACTGTGTAGTTGGTATTAATAATGCTAAGGCCACAGGACCCATTCTGGTGTGGGGAATTTTAGTTAGCGTAGACAGACATGCAGTGGTCTTATTAGAATCCTGGGCTCTATAACCTGAATAACGTAACTTTGTTATTAGTTTGAAAAACTTTTAAGTCTAAAAATAGTTTTAGGCTTTTGGAAAATTGCAAACGTCTACAGAGAGTTCCCAAACACCAGCTCCAAGTTTCCCCTGTTATTAACATAGTACGTTTGTTACAATTAAAGAACCAATACTGATACATCATTATTAACTAAACCCCATAATTTATTCAGACTTTCTTAGTTTTTTTTTTTTTTTTAAAGATTTTATTTTTTCGTTTTTCTCCCCAAAGCCCCCCGGTACATAGTTGTGTATTCTTCGTTGTGGGTTCCTCTAGCCGTGGCACGCGGGACGCTGCCCCAGCGAGGTCCGACGAACAGCGCCATGTCCGCGCCCAGGATCCGAACCAACGAAACACTGGGCCGCCCGCAGCGGAGCGTGCGAACCCAACCACTTGGCCAGGGGGCCAGCCCCAAGACTTTCTTAGTTTTTACCTAATGCCCCTTTCTATTCCAGGATCCCACCCCAGATACCAAATTACATTTCATCATCATGAGTCATTAGAGTTCCGCTGGCTGTGACAGTTTCTCAGACTTTCCTCGTTTTTGATGACCTGGATAGTTTTGAGGAGTACTGGTCAGCCATTTTGCAGAATTTCCCTCAATTGGGATTGGTCTGATTTTTTTTCATGATTAGACTGGGGCTATGGGTTTTTCTGGGGAAAACCACAAAGGCAAAGTGCCATTCTCATCATATCATATCAACAGTACCTGTTATCAACATGACTTATCATTGTTGCTGTTGACTTTGATCACCTCAGTGACATTGCAGGTTCGGTTCCAGACCACTGCAATAAAGCGAATATTGCAATGAAGTCAGTCACATGAATTTTTTCCCAGTGCATATAAAAGTTATGTTTACACTATACTGTAGTCTATTATGTGTGCAACAGACTTGTCTAAAAAAACAATGTACATATCTTAATTAAAAAATACTTTATTGCCAAAAAAGTGCTAGCCATCATCTAAGCCTTCTTTTGCTGTTAGAGGGTCTTGGAAAAAAATGCATTATCTGTGAAGTGTGATAAAGCGAAGTGTCTTAAAACAAGGTATGCCTGTACATCTCTTTTTAGATTTATTCCCAGATGATTTTTGTGTTGTTTTAAGTGGTATATTAAGTTCAGTTTCAAATGTTTTTTGCTTTTATATAGAAATCCAATTGATTTTTATATATTTACCTTGTATCCAGGGGCCTCATTAATTAATTTATTTATTCTAATATTTTGTTTGTAGATTCTTTTGGATTTTCTGTGAGGACAATCATGTCGTTCTTTTTTTTTTTCAAATTTCAAAACTTTCATTTTTTTTTTTTCTTGGCTTAATGTACTGGCTAATCTGTACTGACCAGCTCCAATCTAATGTGGAATGAAAGTGAACATTTTGTGTTCTTCCCACATTTGTGGGGAAAGCATGAAATATTTCGCCATTACTTATGATGTCCACTTTAGGTTTTATGGGTATCAGACTATGGAAAATTGCGTCTATTACTAGTTTGCTGAGAAATTTTATCATAAATGGTTGTTGAATTTTGACAAAACTCTTTCTGCGTCTTTTGATACGTTAACATATTTTTTTGTTTTTCACTGCCATTTCTCCTTTATTCTTGTTAATGTGGTGAATTCCATTAACTGTTTTGAGTGTGAACCTAACTTGCATTTCTGGGGTAGACCTCACTTGGTCATGATTTTTTAACTTTTTAATATATTTTTGGATTTAATTTATTATGATTTTGTTCAGAATGTTTGTACCCATGTTCTTGAACAGTTGACCTTCAGAGGTTTCAAGGTCAACTCTTTAGCTTCCTATGCCAGGCAGCCTCAAAATCTGACAAATATCCTGAGGAAGGAATCAGTCTCATGTTTGTGTGGTAAGTCCCTTTCCTCTAGCAGGATTTCATCTCCTAATCACTACGGTACTGTTGGAGGCTTAGTCTGCCTTTCCACCTCAAGCCTCTAGCCTCCTGAGCAATCCCAGAACATTACAAACGTCTTGTGATTGAGGCTCCTCCGTTTGCCAGTTTGTCCTACCAGCCTCACATGAACACCAAGCGTTTTGCTGACTCCCTTTGGTAGTCAGAATCTCATAATCAGAATCAATGAATGCCCCAGGAAAGAAAATAGCCCATGATGCTTAGGTCACTTTAGAAAAGTTCTTTCCTTTTCTACATTTTAAATAATCCCATTTTTATTTCTTTCAAAGTTCTTCTATTAATTAATCAATCAATTTATTGCATGTGAGAAGTGGCCTGCTGCATTTTACTCTATCCAAATCTCTCTTCACTTCTTTAGATCTTGGTTTTCTTATTTTAAACATAACTCAAAAGGGTTGTTCTTGATAAGCCTTACTGTCTGTAGAATTTTCATTTTTGGACTTTTTTTTAACATGATCTCCCTACACCAGCTTGCAACATAATGATATTTAACAAATGCACTAAATAGGATGAAGATAAAAGATAATGCCTATTTCTGGATTTTTAACATCAATAATTATATAAAATAATTAAATGTAACTTTTGATGATCTAACTAGATTTTCTTGTTTTGTTTTTTAAACCAGAGAACTTAAACTAGGTTCTCAAAGCTTGTCCTTTTTATTTTTTAAGCTTATTTTTTTTTTTGATAAAGAAGGTTGACCCTGATCTAACATCTATTGCCAATCTTCCTCTTTTTTTTTCTCCCCAAAGCCCCAGTACATAGTTGCATATCCTAGTTGTAAGTAGTTCTAATTCTTCTATGTGGAATGCTGCCACAGCATGACCTGACGAGCAGTGTGCACGTCTGCACCCAGAATCTGAACTGACGAACCCTGGGCCACCGAAGTGGAGCATGTGAACTTAACCACTTGGTCACAGGGCCGGCTCCGATTTTTCCTTGATTTGAGAAGAAATATAATGAACATTTTCATTTATTTCTTCAGTCAGCTTTCAAGTGATCTTATTTGATCAATATGCCATAATATGTCACAATCTGATTTATATTTGTCAGAATTATATTACTTTAGACATCAAATACAATACCTTCTTATTTTTTTCCCATTCTTTTTTATGTACAGCCATTTCTGAACCCAAGAAACCATGAAGCTCGTAGTTCAGCATGTTGGTTTCCAACATCAACTGATGCAACTGGTGATGTTGGTGTGAATTTAACTGGTGTCTGCACAAACACAGGGACCCTTGGACACTCAGAATTTCCAAATAGAGAATTCCAACATGGTCAGGTAATGTTTGGGGCAACACTGTTTCTCTGAGTTATGAAGTAATCCACATGGAAATGCTCTTGATCTAATATTTTGCAGGAAAAACATTTCAATTAATAGATATTAACATTGTTCTTTTGAAAATCTGCAGCATCATTTGAACACATCAAGTCATTGAATGGGAATACATGTGAGGTAGATTTATGGAGCTCTTCATTTAAGGAGTTAATGATCTTGACGAAAAGACAAAAATGTATACAGAGTTTAGAGAAAATATATAAGGGTCAAAGAAAATAAACAAAGTTTTAGGCTCCCTTGTTTTGGAAGACTAAGTAGGTGACCATGGCAAATGCATTGGCAGTGAATGACATTGTAACCTTTTCCTCCATGGAAGATAAAGTCATGTCTTAAGGCCGCGGGAGCCAGTCTGGGTGATCCGCCTCACTCTCCTTCCCTTCCTGCCTCTGAGCCAAATTGTGGGCCTTCTGTTAGCCCTCCTGGTTCTGACCTTGTGTGTTTTCAACCTTGACATAGAAATCGCTTTGTACCACCTCAGTTTGGTGCCCAGAAGCAGATTTCCTGTACTCCTGGCCCTATTTCTTCTTATTCCGTTTTCTTCACTATAGGGTCTGCTATCTGATCTTCCCCCAAGGTGAAAACTTGGTTTTGACTGGTTGCTGGTGGTGCTTGGCAGTTTGGTTCAAGGCTTCTAGCTCTGGATTACACCCCTCTGATTAATCTTTCTATAGAGACAGTTTGGAGAGATCCTGTCAGTAAGAGAGGATAAATTCTTTATGTCAAGAGACATTGTGGGAGAATATTTTTGATAGATAGGAATTATTTAGAGAATCTGCCTCTGATGACCTCAAACTAACCAGACCACTCAGAGACTGAAAGTTATTTTGCATGCTTTGACTTAGCCATAGATAGAAGACAATGTGGTCTAGGAATTTTAGAATGTTTATAAGAATTCACACAACTAGTTAGCAAACAGTGATAGCATTGGAGCACATGTCTGGGGTCAGGTTAAGATGAGTTTCTATTAATCTTGCTTCTTTTTGTAAATATTCAAACAAAAAACGAAGGGAATTGCCTCCCATATCCGAGATGTGAGTATGGTCCTTCTTCTCCATCCCTTTTGACTTCTGTCTCAGGCCTAGATGACATGGGGCAGGAGGTGCCATTTGTCTTTGGGCTTTCTTAGCTGGTGCCCCGAATTCCCTTGGCCTTGCTACCTAATGGCCCTGCACTGCCCCTGATTGCCTAGAGGGTGCCACTCTCTACACCCAAACTGGGGTTTATTAGTCAAGACAGTGTTCCATATTTGGGGACATTTAAGAGTGACTCTACATGCTCCAAAGACATCTGCCCTATGTTTGTTTCTTTTAGTAATCTGTTTTCAGTGATAAGAAAAGGGGTAATAATGAGTTAATTAGTGAAGTCAAATTTTTTTTGGATACTTAGTAAATGATAGGAAAATGTTACCCATGCTGTTTTCTTATTTAGTCTTTACAGCAACCCTATGAAATAGGTGACATTATCCATGTGCAGGATTGAGGCTTTGCAAGATAATGCAAACGTCCAGACGTCATCATTCATCTGGTGAAAAGTGGAGTTAAAATTTAAACCTAGACCTGTTAGACTCGAGTGCCTATGCTCTTAGCTTCTACAGTGCCCTGTCTTCTTCAAAATTCTAATTATGGAGCATATTTCTCATTCTAATTTTCTCAACAAAACTTTGAAGTAGATATTATTATTCCCACTTTTGGTATAAGGCAAGTTGTGAATTAGACAAGTTAAGAAACTTAGAATATTAATGGTATAGGGTTTCAATTCAAGACCCCGCTCTCCAGACTTACGTGTTTTACACGGTGCGATGTTTCCTTTACAATAATACATTTTCTGTTGACAGTTATGCATCATTTAACAATGAGGATATGTTCTGAGAACTGTGTTAGACAATTTCCATCATTCTGTGGACATCATAGAAGGTGCTTACACACACTTAGGAGGTATAGCTTACTACCCTCTTACACTATATGGTAGTAATCTTATGGGTCCACCGTCACATATGCAGTCTGTCATTGACCGAAAGGTTGTCAAGTGCTGCATGACTGTGTATATATCTCTTTAGAATTTACAAAGTAATTTTACTGCCATTAAATCTAATCTTATCACATAGGTTTTTATGGATGAAAGAATAGGATCAAAGAGGTAAGTATCTTACCCAGTGAAAGTAGCTGGTGGCCGCAGAAGCTGGCTTTCAATCAATGTTTTCAGACTCTAATTTCATATGGCCAAATACAAACCTGTATGAAAAACAAGCTAGAGAATTTGATAAGCAATTGATTATGTAGTTAAAATGGAGGGCTCCAAAGCAGCCAAATTTCTGATAGTTGACAGGCCAGAAGAGAAGGAAAATTTAATCAGGTGATCTTTTGGGTCCCTTACATGAATGTAGGCAGCACTCATCCACACAAGTATAGATATTTCTTTAGATAGGGGCAGGAGTAAAGAGTTTCTCAGAAGACATTTGTTATTTTTTTTTAATTTGAATATAGACACAGGAAAAGAAAGCATGAAAGGTCGGGGGAAATTTTTTCCTTCTTATATTAAAGACAGTACAAGGACCGGTCTTTCCTAAATGAAAACTTAAATATGAGTCAATATTGATTATTATGTCCAATTAAGATAGCTTTTTGTGTTTATATATTCTTTCAATGAATTAATCTCTATATAAAGAGGATTATCAATGGCATTAATTTTTCTTAAAACACTTGGTTTCATATTCAGTAATTTTATTTAATTTTTTCCAGGTGACAAGAAATTTCTTCAGGGACTGGTCTTTGTGGAAAATCTTCCTGGCTTGCCTCTTAGCCTGTCTGATAACAACAGCAATTGGAGTACTCATAGTGAGTCTGGTGTATAGTGGGAAAAATAATAAGGGGACCATTGTTATCCAACTTCCACAAAACCAAGAGACAACCTCATCTACAACCGGACCAACCTCATCTACGAGTTCTACAGCAGCAGCCACCACTACCATTTCCACCGAAACTACAACCACCACAAGAGCCAGCACTTCAACAGAACAGACTACCACCCCAACTGCCAGCTCTACCACTGAGGCTACCACCACAACACCGACCACTTCAACTGAACAGACTACCACACCAACTGCCAGCACTACCACTGCGGCTACAACCACAACAGCCACCACTTCAATGGAACAGACTACCACACCAACTGCCAGCACTACCACTGAGGCTACTACTGCAACAGCCACCACTACCATTTCCACCGAAACTACAACCACCACAGCAGCCATCACTTCAACTGAACCAACTACCACAATGACTACCAGCAGTACTACTGAGGCCACAACAACCACGACTTTAATGGAACCTAGTACCACACCAACTTCTAGCCCTACCACAGAGGTTACAACCACAACAGCCACCACTTCTGCTCCCACAGAATCTACAACCACAATAGCCACTACATCAACTGAACAGACTACAACACCAACTACCAGCCCTACCACTGAGGCTACAACCACAACAGCCACCATTTCTACTGAGCAGACTACCATACCAACTGTCAGCAGTACCACTGAGGCTACAACCACACCAGTTACCACTTCAACAGAACAGACTACTACACCAACTGCCAGCACTACCACTGAGGCTACTACCACAACAGCCACCACTTCAACAGAACTGACTACCACACCAACTAGCAGCACTACCACTGAGGCTGCTACAGCAACAGCCACCACTACCATTTCCACCAAAACTACAACCACCGCAACAGCCACCACTTCAACGGAACAGACTACCACCCCAACCTTCAGCACCACCACTGAGGCTACCACCACAACACGTACCACTTCAACTGAACAGACTACCACACCAACTGCCAGCACTACCACTGAGGCTACAACCACAACAGCCACCACTTCCATGGAACAGACTACCACACCTACTGCCAGCACTACCATTGAGGCTACAACCACAACAGCCACCACTTCTATGGAACAGACTACCACACCAACTACCAGCACTACCACGGAGGCTACTACTGCAACAGCCACCACTACCATTTCCACCGAAACGACAACCACCACAACAGCTACCACTTCAATGGAACAGACTACCACCCCAACCTCCAGCACTACCACTGAGGCTACCACCACAACACCTAGCACTTCAACTGAACAGATTACTACACCAACTGCCAGCCCTACCACTGAGGCTACTTCCACAGCAGCCACCACTTCAACTGAACTGACTACTACACCAACTACCAGCACCACCACTGAGACTGCTACTGCAACAGCCACCACTACCATTTCCACTGACACTACAATCACCACAGCAGCTATCACTTCAACTGAACCAACTACCACAATGACTACCAGAAGTACTACTGAGGCTGCCACAACAGCCACAACTTTAATGGAACCAAGTACCACACCAACTTCCAGCCCTACCACGGAGGTTACAACCACACCAGCCACCACTACTGCTCCCACAGAGTCTACAACCACAATAGCCACTACATCAACTGAACAGACTACCACGCCAGCCTCCAGCACTACCACTGAGGCTACCACCACAACAGCTACCACTTCAACTGAACAGACTACCACACCAACTGCCAGCACTGCTACTGAGGCTACAACCACAACAGTCACCACTTCAGCTGAACAGACTACTACACCAACTGCCAGCACTACTACTGAGGCTACAACCACAACAGTCACCACTTCAACTGAACAGACTACTACACCAACTTCCAGCACTACCACTGAGGCTACAACCACAACAGCCACCACTTCCATGGAACAGAGTACCACACCTACTGCCAGCACTACCACTGAGGCTACAACCACAACAGTCACCACTTCAACTGAACAAACTACTACACCAACTGCCAGCACTACCACTGAGGCTACAACCACAACAGCCACCACTTCAATGGAACAGACTACCACACCTACTGCCAGAACTACCACTGAGGCTACAACCACAATAGCCACCACTTCTATGGAACAGACTACCACACCAACTACCAGCACTACCACTGAGGCTTCTACTGCAACAGCCACCTCTACCATTTCCACCGAAACTACAACCACCACAACACCCAGCACTTCAACAGAACAGACTACCACCTCAACCTCCAGCACTATCACTGAGGCTACCACCACAACACCTAGCACTTCAACTGAACAGACCACCACACCAACTGCCAGCACAACCACTGAGGCTACGACCACAATAGCCACCACTTCTACTGAACAGACTACTACACCAACTGCCAGCCCTACCACTGAGGCTATAACCACAACAGCCATCACTTCTATGGAACAGACTACCACACCAACTAGCAGCACTACCACTGAGGCTACTACAGCAACAGCCACCACTACCATTTCCACTGAAACGACAACCGTCACAACAGCCACCACTTCAGTGGAACAGACTACCACCCCAATCTCCAGCACTACCACTGAGACTACCTTCACAACAGCTACCACTTCAACTGAACAGACTACCACACCAACTGCCAGCACTACCACTGAGGCTACAACCACAACAGCCACCACTTCTACGGAGCAGACTACCACACCAACTGCCAGCCCTACCACTGAGGCTACTTCCACAGCAGCCACCGCTTCAACAGAACTGACTACTACACCAACTGCCAGCACCCCCACTGAGGCTACTACTGCAACAGCCACCACTACCATTTCAACCGAAACTACAACCACCACAGCAGCTATCACTTCAACTGAACCAACTACCACAATGACTACCAGCAGTACTACTGAGGCTGCCACAACAACCACGACTTTAATGGAACCAAGTACCACACCAACTTCCAGCCCTACCATGGAGGTTACAACCACAACAGCCACCACTACTGCTCCCACAGAATCTACAACCACAATAGCCACTACATCAACTGAACAGACTACCACACCAACTACCAGCACTACCACTGAGACTACCACTGCAACAGCCACCACTTCAACAGAACTGACTACCACACCAACTACCAGCACTACCACTGAGGCTACTACTGCAACAGCCACCACTACCATTTCCACTGAAACTACAACTACCACAGCAGCCACCACTTCTACTGAGCAGACTACCATACCAACTGTCAGCAGTACCACTGAGGCTACAACCACAACAGCCACCACTTCCACGGAACAGACTACCACACCAACTTCTGGCACTACCACTGAGGCTACCACAACAATAGCCAGTACTTCAACTGAACAGACTACCACACAAACTACCAGTACTACCACTGAGGATACCACCACAGCAGCCACCACTACAACAGAACTGCCTACCACACCAACTTCTGGCACTACCACTGAGGTTACCACAGCCATAGCCAGTACTTCAACTGAACAGACTACCACACCAACTACCAGTAGTACCACTGAGGCTACCACCACAGCAGCCACCACTACAATAGAACTGCCTACCACACTAAGTACCAGCAGTACCACTGGGGCTGCCTCCACTGCTTCCACTACTGCAGCTTCCACTGAACCTACAGACACCACAGCATCTACCACTTCAACTGAACTGACTACCCCAATGACTACCAGTATTCCCACTGAGGCTACAACCATAATAGCTACCACTGCTGTTTCCACTGAACCTACAACCACAATAGCCACTACATCAACTGAGCAGACTACCACACCAACTACCAGCACTACCACTGAGACTACCACTGCAACAGCCACCACTTCAACAGAACTGACTACCACACCAACTACCAGCACTACCACTGAGGCTACCACTGCAACAGCCACCACTACCATTTCCACTGAAACTACAACTACCACAGCAGCCACCACTTCTACTGAGCAGACTACCATACCAACTGTCAGCAGGACCACTGAAGCTACAACCACAACAGCCACCACTTCAACGGAACAGACTACCACACCAACTTCTGGCACTACCACTGAGGCTACCACAGCCGTAGCCAGTACTTCAACTGAACAGACTACCACACCACCTACCAGTAGTACCACTGAGGCTACCACCACAGCAGCCACCACTACAACAGAACTGCCTACCACACTAAGTACCAGCAGTACCACTTGGGCTGCCTCCACTGCTTCCACTACTGCAGCTTCCACTGAACCTACAGACACCACAGCATCTACCACTTCACTGAACTGACTACCCCAATGACTACCAGTATTCCCACTGAGGCTACAACCACTATACCCACCACATCAACTGAACAGACTACCACACCAACCTTCAGGACTACCACTGAGGCTACCACCACAACAGCCATTACAACAGCTTCTTATGAATCTACAACCATCACAGTAGCCAGCACTTCAACTGAACCACCTACTACGATGACTGCTAGCACTACCAGTGAGACTACCACCACAACAGCCAGCGCTACCAGTTCTGTGGAACCTGAAACTGCCACAGCAGCCACCATTTTAACTGAACCCACCAGCAAAACTGTTACCCCCTTCTCTTAATCTGAAGATATCACCATAACTCTAAGCAGTGTCCTTTCAACAGAATGAATTACCACATCTACGATTACCATTTAAATTGCACACATAGCCATGACTACCAGGTTCATATTAACTGAGTCTGTGACCGATATAACTTTTACTAAATCTACTATTATGAGATTACAGTACCAGTACAATTCTTTTTTTATCCACATTGGCAACCCCTTCCACTTCAGCTGAAGCTACAGTTACATAAATTAGCAACCTCAACTCAAATGTGTATTATTCCCATTTCAAATGATCTTTCTTACAATTATCGTCAGTTTAACAGAATTTCCAGACAATACTATCTGCGCTTCACCTGAATCTACACTGCCCACAATAGCTACCTCCATCAGTGACTGAATCTAATCTGTTTTCTGAAAGAACTAAAACATCCTCTATAACCCTTACTGCCACCACCTCAAGTATAAATAAAATCAACACAGATGGCACCAATTTGACTGACTTTCCAATCACAACACCATAATGACTTTAGTTGAATTTATAATCTCCATAATCAAGCTAACCTGTTAATAGAAAATGCAGCCATATCGTCTAAGTAATCTACTATCACAATGAGTTAGAGATTCCACTATCCCTTCAAATGAGTCCATAGCTACATTACGTCAACAAAACGTAGTAATACCATAACTTCTACTGAAATTTCACAATAGAGACCACCACAGCAATAGATTCTGCAGTCACACCATCATTTCTACACATCACCATTTCTACTGCACATACTAGTACAACAGGCAAAACTTCACTAAACCCTTCAATACCCTATTACCCTAATCTATAAGCACTATAACTTCTACTGACATGTTACTCAAAGCCATCCATTGCTTATTCATCTGAACCAATGCTACCAGTGTTTATAGTAAATCCAGTAAGTCACACCATCACTCCCACTTGACAGAAATGGCAAATTCTTAATGACCTCTTCCACTGGAACTTGGTTAGGATACATGCAAATAATATCTTAACATCGACTACCATCACTCCCACACCATAACTGTTAGTACTGTAGGGCATTCCTTGGCCAATAACTGCCAACAACTACCAAAATAACCACTTCTAAAACAAGATTTACCTAATGACTAGTTCAACTATCATCATAATGAGAATGAATTTCACCCCCCAAATAATATTTAGATTTAAAAATTCCATTTATTAGATCTGATCATTTAATGTGGAAAGTCTCTATTTTTGTAAGGTTTTAGATGATATAATTTTCATACAAAGTAAATCTAATCTATTTATTTATGTTGGAAACCTATTAAGATTAAATAAAAAGTTACCAAAGGTGAATACAGTCTTTTATTCTCCCAAAGTGCTAGTCTTTAATGCACAAATTCCATGTGTAATAGAGAAAAGACATTCTATATGGTGAGGGTGTATTAAATACATTTATGTATTACCACGTTTTCTTTAGATTGTGTAAAATTATTTTTATTTCATTTTCTCTTTAAATCATTTTGATATTTAAGAAATATTTATTATCTCTGTTTTCAATTTTAAAACTTTGTTTTCTACTATTTTTTGCAGTAATCTTATAAAGGCACTCAATGAAATTCTTTGAGTAAATATTTACTTGTGCCTGCTATCTGCTGAAATACTGGAGAAAATTCAGACAAAGAAAGTAACAATGAAGATAGTAATAAATTTACAAATTTGGATTCTGTTATTTAGAGTTCTTATTAATTGACAGATTTAAATCAGTGTTGATGCTACCTGCATTCCACTGCAGTCCTCCTGAGTCAGAATCATCAAGGATGGGCCAGTAATCTCTATTTTTCAAAAAGTGTGGAGCCAGGGCTGATGACCACTGATTGACACAGCGAACTCAGAAGGGCATCACGACTTGTTGTATCTTTTAGGTGGTGTTGGTGAGACTGATAGAAATCAGTAAATATTTTTTCCAAGCATTAATAAAAATCAGTCATTTGTTGATGTTAGTTTTACCCATAAACAAAGGATGAGTGTGTAATCTGTAGACGTGAACGCAAGTTTGGATGCAGGGTGAAAATTTTACTTACCCAAGAGGAAAAATACATTTTCAAGCAATTTAAAATAAATATTTTAATAGCCACTATGCTAATTAGAAATAAATTTTAACTGTCCTTTAAGTCTATCCTACAGAGATACCTTTTCCCCGATTTTGCAAGCCTACTTGCTGTAATTATATGCAATTAATGTAATAAAACATTATTAAAACACTTTAATTCTATTTTTGCCTTCCTCTATTATTTTCTCTATTAGTGATTCTTTGTATATTTATTAAATGTATCACTAATTGGACTTTTCTCATTTTGTTAAAGAAGACATAACTTTTACTACTTTCCAGTTCTACATTTCTGCTTTTAATCAGGTTGAGAAACATTCTGGAGTAGATCCATTGTGTAAGTAAATACAAATTTGCTCTTTAAGGAATGGAAGATTTTTCCAGTTTAACACATGATAGGTACTCAAGATATTTGTTTAACAAGTACATGCATTCATCATAGCAGCAGTCTGTTAGGTAAGCTTCCTGGCCTCTGTTTATCCAGTGTGTGTGCCTGGCAACTAGTAGATAATAAATATTTGTTCAATAAATGAAAATAGCACCAATTATAAGAATTTATTACTAAATAAAGAAGATTTTAGAATTGGAATTATACTGTTAAATCATATTTTAATACTTTCATTTATGTTAACCTATTCTAATTTGTATTATTTTTCTCAATTTCTTTTTAGTTTTGTACAGTGTATGTGCAGAAAATGCACAAAGCGTAAGTTACAGCTCAATGAATTCTCACCAAGTGAACACACCCATAACCAAATCAAGAAATAGAATATTACTAGCGCTTCAGACACTCCCCGTGTGCCCACATCCAATCACTACCTCCTTCTTCCTTTTCCAAAAGTAAATACCGTCCTGATTTCCAACACCACGGATCACTGTCTGACTGTGGACCTAGTAGGAACGGAATGGTATCGCAAGTACTCTTTTGTGTCTGACTTCTTTGGCTCAGCCTTTTATTTGTGAGATTCATACAGGTTTCTGCTTTCACAATGGTTCCTTTGCTTTCATTGCGGTAAATTAACCCATTGTTATTACCATGCCATGACTTATTTATTCATTATTTTGTTGATAGACATTAGGGTTATTTCCAGTTTTGCATATTATAAAAATTGCTGCTTTATGCAACATCATTTTATGTATCTTTTGGTACACATATTATGCATTGTGCTTTTAAACTGGAGAATAATTACTGAGTCACAGAGTAAGAAAATGTTCAATGTTAGGAGATACTTCCAAACAGTTTTTCAAAGGAATTGAAACTAGCTACACTCTCATTAGTATTACATGAGAGTTCTGGTTACAGCACATTCTCACTGACAGGATTTTGGCAGCCCTTTTAACTTTAGCCATTCTCGTGGAGGTGTAATAGTATCTTGTAATGGTTTTAATTTCATTTTCCTGATGACTCATGTGGTTGAGCATGTTTTAATCTATCACCCACTTGGTTATCCTCTATTTCAAAGTGCTTCTGCAAGTCTTTTGGCTATTTTTCAATTGGGTTGTCTGAGTTTTCCGTATTGATTTGTAGTTCTCTTTATATTAAGCACATGTTCTCTATCAGTTATAGGAATTGCAAATAGCTTCTTCTACTCCATCGGTGCTATTTGTGTCCTGTGTCTGTGACTCCAAAGTCATGAATATTTCTGCTATGTGGTTTTCTGAAAAATTTGTTATTTTACTTTTCGCATTTAGATCTACAATCTAACTGGAATCCAATTTTGGTACCAATTGCAATTCATTTATTTTCCATGTGGCTAACCAATGGATCCTGCATCATTTATTTTAAAAGCTATCTTTTCCCCACTTCTCTGCTGTTCCACCTTGACATAAATCACATGTACCTCCCTTCTCCAACACAGGGAAATTTGACTCCTATTATCCTTAATCTATTTACTTAATTCTCTCCATGTATATAAACAAAGTCCCATCTCTGCTGCCACTTCTTTCCTGACACAGAAGCTCTCCTCACCCTACTTGAGCTGCAAAACTTCTGTGATGTCCTCCTCACCTATTCAGCCTCTGACTGTCCTCTCGGAGCCACCCTTTCACTTTCAGAGCAATGCACTTTCTTATGACCCACCTAATGGGCTTCAGCACTGAATTGTTCAGAAAGGGAAGGAGAAGGAATTAGCATAATACTGAGAGGAAAAAGAAACACGGAAAAAAGTATGGCAGTACTTATGTAAAGAAAAAACACGTGAAGATATTATTTTATATTACTTAGGAATACATAAAAATATAAGGAAGTAGGATAGTGGTTCCTTCCAGTGTGAGAGGAGGCAGGAGGAGTGGTCTGGGGGAGTCTGTACGGTGTGTACGTAATGATTTGTCACTTAGGATGGGTGGTGGGTGTTCAATGTAAAATTCTTCATACCCTCTGTATATTTTAAGTTTTCCCTAATTTTTTAAAAAACAGCATGGCTAGGACATAGCAGGTATTATATAAATAAATGCACAATTGAAACTTGAGGGGTAAACAGAGGCTAAATTATTTAATATCTTATAGGTTATGCTAAGTTTTAGTGATTTTCTTCTCCCAAGAGGAAATGCCGCTAAGGAGTTTTGAGAAGGAGAGTGACATACCTGCTTTAATTTTAGATGGAACAATGTAAATGCTTTGTGGAAAAGAGAGTGGAGGATTGAAAAAGTAAAGTAGAACTGTTAGGAGAGTTTCGCAATGGGTTTTGGAAGAGGGGAGGGTGGGTGGGATGAAGGTCATTGATATGGTGCCTGACACATGGTAAGGGATGGATATGGCGAATATTACTATCATTGCTCAGATGACGTCAGGGATCCAGTCATTCCTCCTTCACTGAGAGCACACCACCCCCCACCAACAGTATTTCTTTCAGGTACAATGACTATGTTATTTTCTTGAAGTTTTATCTCTTCTAGATTTAAATTTTAAAGTTTT